TTTTCATGACGGTCGTCTTCGAGTATAGAATCCAGAGGTTCGCAGTGAATATTTCGGAGACAGTAGGAAAGCGTAGTGCAGGTTCGCAGTGGATGTCACAGCAAGGTAGCAGAGCGTAGTTCTTCCGTCTGTCCTGTTCGCCGGACAAGTTGCCTCTGGTCAGGTTGGTAGGAGAACAAAGATGGCCGCCTTTATACACGACGGATACAGTGTTGGGCGGCTTCTGATTGGTCAACCTTCTATTGGTCGACTATAAAGGGAAATAAGTCATTTTGACTCGCTCAATAGTTATATATAGTATATACCCAAAAAACCGTAACGTTTTGTACGTCGAACCTATTTTAGGACCACTACATAACAATTTGGCGACGAGGGATTCGGATTCATACGGAGGAAGAAAAACCTTTTTGTACTACATAACAGCATCTTTCATCGTGATCAAGCAATTGAGCCAATCTCTGTCTATATCTCTAAGATGAAACATTAGGATTAATTACATTATTTACATTATTCAGACTTATCCTCATGTACACTGCCATATTCACAACGTTTCTGCCGTTGTAAGGTCCGGCCTTCTTCAGGTGATTGGAATTTCGAACAGAATCCTTTATTTCGTCCACCAGGGTAGATTTTTCTAGTTCCATGTGCCATGCCTCTTCCGGATGTCTCATTTATTTTTCTTTAACTTAACTCTCCAAGTTTTTGGTTCAGCACTGATATTGAACTCACAACTCTTTGGGTGTAGTCACTGGATCTAACCAACACCTTTATCTACTAGGCCGTTGTGAATATGGCAATGAAAATGAGGATAACAGTCCAAACAATGTAAGTAATTGAGCCAATCGTTTACGATTGTCATAAAAGTCACATTTCAAATCACAAAATCACTATTCGATCAAGAAATCGATCATCCGAATTTCGCAGAAATATCATCGAATACACTCCAAAACGTTGAACTCTTTGACGCAACGTGATACCCTCTTGAAGGTTAACATCAGCCATGCTGCTGGAAGGTAGAAATGGGTCTCTCCGATGATTAATAGAGAGTAGATTTGTTTTAGAGCGTTAAAATTAATAAGCCATTATTTACCCCAGTTAACAACAGACTAAAGGTCGTTTTTGAGAATAGCTGCTAATTTGAATTTAACAAACTGATCAGACTTACTCTCGAGATAGGAGTAAACGGTTGTGTCATCAGCATAGATACCAATTTGTGATCTGATACCAGCAGGAAGGTTGTTAATGAAAATTAAAAACAAAGTAGAACCAAGTATAGCGCCCTGGGAGACATCTAAATTAGTACAGAAGGATCTAGAGGAGTAGCCGTTCAAGATAACTTTCATTTCACGAAAGAATGGATCAGGTCAAACATTTGACAGGAGACACCGTAACTTTTTATCTCCTGAAGAAGACCTGTGTGCCAAACCATGTCGAAAGGTTTCGAGATGTCCAAGGCATCATCCCGAGATTCACCATTCTCTTTCCGCAATTATCGTCATTACACAAGCAGTTGTTTAAATTAATATCAGCACGAGCAGCAGGTTTGCGAGCAGTACTTCTCCTTTAGTGGGAGGCTAGGTTCATTATCTAGCGTCTGAGGTGTCCCTAAAAAGAGAAGTACCAAGAGAGCTTGATCATTTTTTTTTTTTTTTTTTTGTTGCCCGATTGTGAGAAATCCCACTTTAAAATTCGACCTTGTATCCTCTTCTGTGTGAGTTGGAGCATAGATAAATATCTATACTATACACCGATACCACACAATGCTTACTGTGGGTAATTTACAGAATTATTAACACATAATACCTTATAAGGTATCGACCAGTGTCTAAGTTTATACAGCGGAGTTTTTTTTAATCCTTTTCCATATTGAGGGACTGAGAAGCAAACGTCAATTTTGCTTATTTTTAACGTTGTCTTCAAAAAGCGTATTTTTTTCTCCTCTTATTTTTGATTAGCTATCTGTCGGGATTCTATTTCCTTTCAATTATCAGCTTTTTCTCCGCAACAGTGTTGCTGTCCCCTAATTTGGTTCGACTGATCGAGAAAATATGACCAAAAAAAATCCCTAAAGCCGATTAGTTTTTATTTTGTTTCTGCCTGGGAGAAATGTTATTTTAGTATTTGTCGAAACTTGCAAAAATAAAACTAATAGTCATTTTTGGACGAAACAGTCTGTAACTTACAAGCAAAGAATGTCAATTTGATTATTCAACGTTTTATTTCTTTGCCTACGTGTTGTAGGTGTTTGCTTGCTTTTTCCTTCATAAAAACTATTTGCAACGTTTTCGAATATGTACTAAAAGTAAAAATTGTTGTGTGAGTTTTAATAATTTATTACTGAGTAGATTTTAATAATCTTAATTCATAATTGCGTAGATTTTCATAGGGGGCTCTGGATAGAGGTCGTACCTTTCATGTCTGGCACGCTGCATGTTCGGGTAAACGAGCATCAGTGGTTCTCAGCCATCTTCTAAATCTCTCAGAATGGAATGGTTCCTCAGATGAACTACAATGGCAACCTGTTCGCGACCATAGGACATCGGTTGTGTTCTAATCTGGAGAGGGATGGGCTCCGCCAGGTTGAAACGCCCAAGACACGCCACATGATTAGGAAAACTGAGAACCATTCGCAGAGACCCAGACTATGGCACACGATCGTGACAGATGGAGGAGAACGGTGGACAGCTCAGCATGTCGGCGTTCCAACGACCCCTTATAGGGTTAAAGGCAAAAGAAGAAGAATATTATGCCATTTTTGTGTGAATATTTATAATTTTAATTCATAATTGCATAGATTTTAATATTATGTTATTCTTGTGTAGATTTGAATATTTCTTTTTCTATGTTTTCTAAAGTCAGCACGAGCGGGATAACGGAAGTGCGAAAAGTGAAGTGCCCGCACGGAAAGTGAAGTGCCCGCGCGGAAAGTGAAGTGCCCGCACGGAGAAGGAAGTGCTCGGGCGGAAAGTGAAGTGCCCGGGCGGAAAGTGAAGTGCCCGGGCGGAAAGTGAAGTGCCCGCGCAGAGTCAAGTTCAAATTCCGCGCCAGTCTGTAGCATTCGCATTCGCACAAATGTTATTTTTGGAAGGCATGAACCGTCTCTTCTCCCCAAAACCCCAGACAGGTATGAGTTAAATAACAGAATAGGTTGGATTTTCAGGACTTGCGAGGCAACCAGTCTAAGGGAGAGGAAACCCTGAATACCAAACCGTGAAGAGACAATAGAAAATCACGCCGCTATCAAGATGTCATGGCAATTCAAAAATAATGAAAGAGAAAAAAAATCTTTGAACGGCCATGATTGCCTAACGTCCCGAAGTGACATGGCATTAAAAATTAGAGACAAAAAGATTTTGAACAAAGCCAGAAAAGTATAGCCAGAGAGAAGAAAAAGTGGAAGAGATGATGATGATGATGATGATGATGATGATGATGATGATGATGATGATGATGATGATGATGATTTTAGTCTGCACTGATGTAAACAGAAAAGGTTGGATTAATAATACGTTCCCGGGAGACAGCACATAATCTTTGCCTCTTCAAGTCTACGTTCAACCATTATCTTTACTACATATCCTCATCCTCTGCACTTCTTAGTATCCTCTGCACTTACATTGCTTAACCCTCTACCTTCAGTATCTCTTGGGTTTTGTACTGGATGATCAATTAGTAAATAAATGGATATTAATCGCAATTTTTCGGACAAAAAAATTTAAAGCCTTTTACAATTCCCAAATAGCCTGCTTGGAATAACGTTAACCTTTTCAAGTCCACACTCACGCAATTGATGCATAAAGCAAAATTTTCAGTGGACATATCTAAATGATTTAGAAAAATAATCTTATTGAATGTATTATTATAAATATAACAATGGGAAACTATATCCGCTTTATCCCATATAAATGCGCTTTAGGGACAATTATGTCCCGCAGGACGTTGAAAACACCTGTAGGACACATACGTCCCAGGGGACTTGAAAGGGTTAAGGAAAAGATGTTATAAAGTAGACGGAGACACCAAAATCAAGCATGGCAGTGATTCAATATAAGACGAAAAGCGCGCCACAGTAATCCGTGGGGAGGTTGTTCATAACTCATTGTATACATAATGAGAAAAGGTGATTTTTACACTCACGTGACATATTGAAGACAAGAGGGACAGAGAGAAATAGCGAGTAACCTACCTAGAGAGCTTGTGTAAATGGATGGTAGAACAGTGACTGTGAATAATGGTGAAGAGACAAAGCTTACTAAGATCTACAAAGGATAGGAAGTTGTGGAGAACCATGATCCCCAACTCCCTGTAATGTCACGGCATATCGAAGAAGCCGTTCGCGCTTCTTCATTAGGTTTTCAATTCCTCCAATTTTTTTACATGCTTCTAATGACCGTTCCTAGCAGTTCCATCAAATTCATTATAATTTTCTTTTCTCAAGTTTTCGACATTCTCTTTCTTTCTGTATCGCTATGTAATCTTGCCGGAACAGCGACATCTGACATATCTCAATTTCTTTGTCTACATTGACTAAATCTGGTTTGCTGGCAATTTATCAAAGACTAGCAGTAGAGCCCGGCGTTGCCCGGGGATATAACAGTAAGAGATAGATCAAGTATCCACCATCATAAAGACTGAAAAATAAAATTGACAAAGATTATTGTTTAAGGTTGACGAACACGCATGTCTTAAATTCCCAGTGGATAACCTTTCCTGCCCAATCATATCAATCTTTTCCACAGTGAAGCTAATTTCAGCTTTATATGATAATGTTTTATAAAAATATTTATATATTCCTTTTTTTATTGAAATATTTTTGGTTAAAGGACTCTTATATAAGTTTGTTTTTTTCGGAGAAAATAAAAATGTGAACATCGACATAATCTAATCAAGTTACAGAAAAAAAGTTGAGTTGCACTTGTTTATTTAGAAGTGCTTCGAACTAAGAAAGTTACGTTTAATCTTTGCTGACTGCAGAAAATGTTAGTTATTAAATTTGGCAGTTACTTTTTTTTAATTAGTTCTACGTCCAAGAGGAAAAAAATGAAATGCAGTTTGGGTCTATTAGCTGTGTATTTCGTTTTGGCTTTTTTTTCTGTGAACTCTGTGGGTGTCTTCGCTACAGAGATAGATTGCAGTGAACGCAAAGAAAAGGCAGCCCAAACCAATTTCTTGTGTCCTCCTCTTTCCTATGTGTCAAAAAAAAAGTTCAGGTTTATACGCACCTAACTTTCAATTATTCCAAAACGAGTAGGCGTCTTCCAGTCTCTGATATGGCTCCTGTCAGTTTGACTAGGTAGTTCTTAGACAATTTAGTTCTTCTAAAATGCTATTACTCTGAACGTTTTCCAGTCTGTCAGTTTGAACTCTTGTCTCTTACGCTCTTCAGTTTTCCAAAATGAGATTTCTCAAATTACTGGGCGTCTTCCGGTCTGTTTTCGCTTATTTCAGTTTGACTATTTACCTCTTTATCGCTTCAGTTTTTTGTTTTTTTTCCAAAATGAGATTACTCAAACTTTTTTTCTGTTCTGTTATTGTTTCAGTCAGTTTGGCTGCTTGCCGCTTTATCACTTCAATTCTTCAAGAATGAAATTGCTCAGACTTTTTTCCGGTCTATTATCGCTTTTGGTCTGTCACTGTCTTCAGTTCCCACAAAATGGGAAGGCACATATAATTGGACGATTTCTGGTCTATTATCACTTTTGGTTTATCACTCAGGCTCTGTAGTAGGATTAGGGAGTAGTAACACTATATGAAAATATACATTTTCCTTTTCCCAAAGAAAGTGACAAAGAAAACTCTCTCTCTCTCTCTCTCTCTCTCTCTCTCTCTCTCTCTCTCTCTCTCTCTCACCTACAAATACTTCCTTTCCCTTCCTTCTATTGTTCCTATCCTCGGTAACTGACAGAACCCGGACATAGCTTATGTGGGTCGGTGAACATCATAAAATTCAACCAACGACAACACGTCCCGCCAAAAATCAAACGGAAAACACAGATGTGTCAGGCCAACTCAAAAGAAAAATAAAACACGTGCGCAGCAGAAAAAGTGGGCAATTGATTCGATGTAGCAGTTCGAGAGGCTGTGGTTGGAAATTAATCAGCTGTGAGTTTGACCTGAGGTACAACTCCAGGAGAAAAAGAAGAAGAAAGGATGAATTCAATAAATTAATATCTGTCATCTAAAAACACAACACAAAAGGACTAAGGTAACCACATGGAGTCAATAATAAAAATCATACTATAGACAGTAAATTTGTCCTCTATTTATGTATTTGCCCAACCTTCATCTCTATATACCATAGCACATATAATTGGATGACTTCCGGTTAGTTATCGCTTTTGGTCTACCACTCTCCTTACTTCCTACAAAATGAAATGGTTCATATAACTGTATGACTTCCGGTCAGTTATCGCTTTTGGTCTACCACTCTCCTTACTTCCTATAAGATGAGAAGGTTTATATAACTGTATGACTTCCGATCAGTTATCGCTTTTAGTCTACCACTCTCCTTACTTCCTACAAAATGAGAAGGCCCATATAACAGTATGACTTCCGGTCAGTTATCGCTTTTGGTCTACCACTCTCCTTACTTCCTACAAAATGAGATGGTTCATATAACTGTATGACTTCCGGTCAGTCATCGCTTTTGGTCTACCACTCTCCTTACTTCCTACAAAATGAGATGGTTCATTTAACTGTATGACTTCCGGTCAGTTATCGCTTTTGGTCTACCACTCTCCTTACTTCCTACAAAATGAGATGGTTCATATAACTGTATGACTTCCGGTCAGTTATCGCTTTTGACTTCCTCAAAATGAGATGGTTCATATAACTGTATGACTTCCTGTCAGTTATCGCTTTTGATCTACCACTCTCCTTACTTCCTACAAAACGAGAAGGTTTATATAACTGTATGACTTCCGGTCAGTTATCGCTTTTAGTCTACCACTCTCCTTACTTCCTACAAAATGAGATGGCTCATATAACAGTATGACTTCTGGTCAGTTATCGCTTTTGGTCTACCACTCTCCTTACTTCCTACAAAATGAGATGGTTCATATAACTGTATCACTTCCGGTCAGTTATCGCTTTTGGTCAACTACTCTTACTTCCTATAAAATGAGAAGGTTCATATAACTATATGACTTCCGGTCAGTTATCGCTTTTGGTCTACCACTCTCCTTACTTCCTACAAAATGAGATGGTTCATATAACTGTATGACTTCCGGTCAGTTATCGCTTTTGGTCTACCACTCTCATTACTTCCTATAAAATGAGAAGGTTCATATAACTGTATGACTTCCGGTCAGTTATCGCTTTTAGTCTATCACTCTCCTTACTTCTTATAAAATGAGAAGGCTCATATAACTGTATGATTTCTCTTTTTTTTTATCGATTTTGTCAATTTGTCTGCATGCCTATTGGTCTCTTCAGTTCTCCTCCGGTTTGCTATCGCTACTGTCTGACTTGTTGCCTCTTAGCCCCATGAGTTTTCCCCAAATTCCTATAAACATTCGTATCATATAATATCCTACTTATATATATATATATATATATATATATATATATATATATATATATATATATATATATATATATGCAAAAAAAAGGAAATCTAATCCCGTCCTGGGCATGACGATAAACTACATCCAACAGCAAAGCCTCTGATTTTGGAGGCTTCCATGTGCATAAACCACCTCTTAATTGCTGGTGTTCCCAGGCCCACCTCGACCCGGCGTAGTAGCACCTGTTAGGGCCTCGATTATGGGCAAATACTTAAGCCCAAACTGTGGTCAAAACATTATGATAGTGTAAAAATATGTTTTAATACCAGCAATACATTTTTGAAGAATATAAATATTATCAGCAATACATTTTTGAAAAAAAATATTACTATCAATATATTTTCGGAAAAAAAAATATTACCAGCAATAAAAAAAATTTTACCAACAATAAAAAAAAATATTACCAGCAATAAAAAAAAATATTACCAGCAAAAAAAAACCCCATTGAAGTTGATATGCCGTAAAACAAAACAAACCAAACCAAATCCAATCTTACATGTCAGAAGATTAGCGTCAATTACCAGACTAACAACGTCCAGCAATCACTTATAATCAGAAATATGTTTCGCCTTTAAATAACCCTCAAATGATTAATAAGCCGTAAAAGAATCAATCAATCAAACCGAATATGAAGTTCTGTCTATCTCTATTATGGCTCGTTTCAGATATATGCATATCTAAGGTATATTTTCTTGGTGCGGTATTTAGAGAAATCCACAACATAGCTCATACGTGCTCAATGGGGTTTAATGCCGGCGAGCACCGAGGCCAATAGAGCATCTGAAAATAAACCGATTATTTCTTGAACCAGTTTCTTGTGTGCTACGCACGACGTTGGTGGGAGTTATAATGATTCTTGCTTAAGCAAAATTTGGAATCATAGCCAACATAAACGGGTGCAAATTGTCTGCAAGAAACAAACTCCAGTTTTAGTAATGGTTCTTACAAACACCAACAAAACCTGCTCAACAGCATTACAAAACCACCATTTGTATAACGGCGATCTAACAGGCTGGAGTGATAGCCTGATGTGTTTCCCTCCGCACTCTGTCGTCGCTCCGAAAAATCTGGAAACGTGACTAGTCCGACCAAATGATATGAAGATAGTCTTCCACGATCCATTGTCTCTTTGAACAGGCGAAGCGCAGTAACCAACGTCGGTTTATGTAGCCTTTTTGATCGACTATTGCAAAAAGCCATGGAATGCATTGTATGCTGTACTGTGCGTCGACTAATGGGTTGAGCGGCACTAGCGTTGAACAGAGATGTGATTTGATGCAAAGAATAATAGTACAGTCAACACGTTGGAGATAGGTTAATACATTTGTTTTTACCTAAACAATCATCCGCACAGTGTTAAATTATGTTTTTTTTCCCGTAGCTGTCACTGCTATACTGCCATATCTACGAAACCTCTGTACCTATTACTCCACGGATGAGTCAACAAATGTTTTCTTGTTGTGTCATAGAGTCTACGATGTGCTGGGTGCGCTGTAAACAACCTCCTACAATCAGAAATATATTTCGGTTTCAAATAAAAAAAATTTCTAACAAATGTACAAATGCTACTAATGTTTATATAAGGGCGCAAGTATAAATTCGACCAATTTTTACTTATATAGCCACAAGTATAAAAACGACTAATTTTTAACTATTAACACAAGTACAAACTTGACCTGTGTTTTCATATATAGACTCAAGTATTAAAACAACCAATATTTACATATTGGCGTAAGTATAAACCCAACCAATCTTTATCGATAGACACAATTATAACTCCTACTAATGACTACCTATAACCAGGCAGGTATATAAGTGACCAATGTTTACATACACAGGATCAATTTTAAATACTACAAATGTTTACCTACAAAGACACAATTTTCTTGAAACTTTGGATGTAACGTCGTCTCTCCTTGAACTCTGAATGGCACAAATTATAATAGCGTTAGCCTATAGAGTTGAATGCACGGGAAACATGATTTACCAGTGAAAATCAAACAACACAAAAGTAAAAATACCAGAATTTCTTTCTTCATTTTCGCCATATCTCGTTCTCTGATGAAGCTTTAATATTTTAAATATAAAATAAATTTAAATTATTTATTTCTATTTGTTCTTTATCTTATCTTAGACACAATTATAAACTCGAGCAATGATTTTGGGATTGGTTTCGGATTTTATAATAACCGCTGTTTATTTTTTGGCGAACGTTTTCTGTTAACATGCAAACTTCATTTTTTATCAAGTAACAATGCGATGCCAAAAATGAAAGGTTCGCATTTCTGGTTAAAAGACTGTTGCAGATGGTGGAATGTTGTGATTCGTTCCCATGAGTAACCATCCAGCTAAGTCGATTTCTATAAATGGGGGAAGGCAAAACTTTCAAGTGTGCGTCGATGTCTGTAAATTTTGGCACTTCAGTTCATATGAAAAGAAACAATTTATACAGTGGATAAAAAGACAAAAAAAAACAAGCGAGAATGATATGAGATACGAGAAAGAAAAGAGACAGACATATATGAAGCGAAAACGTAAAAAACGAAAAAAAAAGCAATCGTGCTCATTTATAAGTGACCATCGACACAGGGAAGTAATTAAATGTACCGGATGAATAGCCA